CCGGTGGCCGGGCGCACGCAGAGGCCGCGGCGGCGGTGGCCGGCGAGCCCGGGAGGCGGCGGCGGCGAGGCCGCTGCACAGCACACGCACACACAGACCCCGGCAGCGGCAAGGCAGCTGACACGCCCGTAGCATGGAAGCCACCGCCGCCGCCACCGCGGCTCCGACGACAGCAGCAGCAGCCGTAGCAACCGCCGGCGGCGCCGCCGCGCGGAACAAAGGTCATCCGAGCTGCGGCCCAGACACCCGGGCTTGACCGCCGCGAAGGCCGAACCCGGGCCAGGGGGTGGGTGTGCGCCTCAGGGCCGGGGGCGGCCGGGGTGAGCGAGGGGCGCGGGTGGGCGCTGGGGACAGGCGGGGGCGTCGGGCCCCTCGTGCCACCCCTGCGGGTCGGGACGCACGCGAGGCGCAGGCCCCTTGGCCTGACTGCAATGGCCTGTCCCACTCTGGTCTTGGGGATATCTGGCCTTCGCGCCCCGGCTGGCTTCCTTGAGGGGGGGCCCGAGGATGGGCCGTCTTGGCTAGGCCCCACCGGCATGGAGAGGGGGCCACGTGAGCATGGGCTCTCCTCCTCCCCTTGCAGAGCTGGTTGCGCACAGATGATTTTCCCAAGGCCTCGGTGCCCCCTCTCCCCCACTGCCCCTTGACTTGTCCCCCCACCCGCCCCACACATCACCCAGTGTGCTACCCCGAGGTGAAGGGATTTGGACTTCTCCCCCCAGGTGCTTGAAAGAAGAGAAGGTTGGAGGAGGAGGAGGAGGAGACTGGGGGGGCTGCTGGTGGTGGTGGTGACAGGGCTGGGAGCGAGAGGAGAGGGACGGAAGGGAGGAGGGGGCTGGGTGGGGTGGGGGTGACAGGCAGAGAGGAGCCTGGTCAACAAGCCAGCACCACTCTGCTAGGAGGCCAGGCCGGCTGCCTGCAGCCGACGCATCCTGTGTGAGGAGACACACATAGATTGCTTTCTTGGGGGCTCTTTGTCAGCCACCAACACAGAGAACACACACTGACACACACGTACACAAAGATCTGAGCCAGGTTGTGGGAGGTAAGTGGGGGAAAGAGAAGGAGGGGGAAACAGTGTCTGCGGTGGGCTTTGGGGTGGAGGGGAGGGGGGATGAGCCCTGAGGGGCTCTGGGGGGCTCGAGAGGTGAGCATTTCCAAGGCTCTGTGCTTGTGTGGTGGGGGCACACACGATGACCTTTCCCTCCTCAGGAAACCCTAAGAGGGAGAGGCAACCCCCAGCCAGCTCCCACCCTGTGCTGATCATTTTCAGGGACTTGTTGGCAACTCAGGGAGGGTTGCCATAGCTTTTTTATGTAGGGTGACCAGAACCGGCTGAAACTGGTTTGAGGCAGATCAGCTCCTGAACACAATGCAGTCACTGAGCTACTACAGTGGGATAGCAGCTTCCTCCCTTCATGGCAGCCAAAAGCAGAGGAGCTTGCAGGAAGGTGCCATCCTAACACAGTATGTGAATGCACACTTAGACACCACACAGCACTGGTACGTGACTAATGGAGTCCTAAAAGATCCTGTGTAGAGAAGATGGGGAGAAAGGTGCAGGTTTGCAGGGTCTAAGATGACTTGGGCTTTTCCTGCCTTTTTCTTTTGCTTAAGGGATGGACAAGGAGCTGAGATTTATGACCCTTATTAAAGAAAAAAAAAAGTGCCTTCCTAGGGTGGGGACACTTGGTTTGTGTGCTCTCTCTCTCTCTGTCTCTCTCTCTCTCTCTCTCTCTCTCTCTCAGTGTTTTTAATGAAACAACCAGAATGAACTGATGGATTTGTAATGGTAGTTTGTTTGTTGCTGGAGAATGCTACTTTGCATGCCTTTTTTCTCTTGCAGGCTATGTTCTGTTTTGTGCTTTTCCTTTTAGAAGCTTCTAAAGGGTGTTGGGGATACTTGGGACTGTTGTGAAGGCCAAAAGGTAACAATATTGTTCTAGGAAATGAGCATAAATGCGTTCCAGTGATGCTGTTAGCCATACATGCTGTCTTTTCTTTTTCCTTGTAGGCCTGTTGACTGGGGCTGCTTTTAACCCTTTCATATTTGCAGACAATGCAACCGTGTGACAGTAACTGAACACTGGTCCAAAGTCTTTCCAAAAGGTCAAGGTTCACAAGGTGAGATATGCTGTTTTTAGCATGAATTTAAATATTAATTTGCAGATCCATTCCGACCCAGACTGACAGTGGATTGGTACCCTGGAGATGAATGGGGTTCATAGTGGAGATGAAATACCTTTCATGTTATCCGTGTTTAATGGGATTCCAGTGACTTTTTTGATGGTGCTGCTATCAAGGCAAGATCTGAATGCCTTCATTAAATCGCATGTGCCTGGGCATTTGGAAGAGTCAGGCCTGGAATGAGGCATGTTGAGAGGACGGTAGGAGGCAGGGCCTTATGGAGAAAGGTACTGTTTTGCATAACACAGAAGCAGTACACATGGAGCATTTTGCCCATGACTGTAAGAAAAGAGAAGGCTTCACCAAATTGAAGCAGCCCAGCCACCTATTTTAGGATTTGAGGAGCCTGGAGGTTGATTCATCTTTTGTTCATCACCTTTCTTTTTCCATGCTCCCTGTGTTAACCTGAAAGGTTTTTCACTCCGATTCAGGTGGTGGAATGTCTTTTATTGATTTTGGGGGCTCTCGACGGTGAGTTCACCATTGGATTATTTGTGGCATACATTTTAATGTGGAAATTCTAATGTTGGACCAGGAGGAAACCGGGTAGTCTGGCTTCATCTGTGCAGGGATGACTGTTAGCTCACGGCTTCCCTGTAATGGGTGGTAGAAAATGTCTAATGCCTTACTGTAGTCAGACTGGAGCTGGCATTTTTTGTGTGCCCTCCCAAACCAGAGCTTGGGGAGGAGAGGAGAAAGCAGAGGGGAGCAAATTAGTGAGGAACAAAGGCTGTGAGAGCTTCCAGGGGAACACTAAACATTTTGCCTTGGGGTTCCTTCTGAAAAGAACTGCAACTTCCCCAAACAGGAAACCAGTCGCTCCAGAGTCAGATCCAACATGATCTCAGCAACAGAACTGGTTCTGCCTTTCTACTGGTCTGGTACAGTCAAGAGGAGTCCACAGGAGACCTGATTGCAAATACATTTTCTCCCTCACTTTGAAGTGCGTATTTTGTTCCTCTTTGGGTACAACAGAATAGTCTATTCAGAAATGTGGAGGATCTTAGAATTGGTGAAGTTGTGCTGGCAGTTGGTGGGCAGCCTATGCAGCGATGGGTGTTAAGGAAGCAGGGGTTTTTGTTGTTGTAATGTTTTTTCATTGGGCTGCAGAGACGAGGCCACTGTGATAGCACTTGGCAAAAGGGGAAACGAGTGCGTGGCTAGGTCGGAATACTTTATGTAGTGTTTAATAGAGATAAATGCCATCTCGGACAGATAGACCAGCAAATAGCTTCCACAATGGAACAAAATTCTTTGCAAATCACTGTGCTAAAATTGGTTTTCAATTCTATCTCATTTCCAACTGCCAGAGGTTTCTGCAGATGACTGTGGCAGAAATGTGCTTGCCGAATCTGAGTCCATGTTGCGTGATGCATTGCCCCCGCATCTCTGGTGCCAACTGCCACTCAGATGGCTAATATGATAAACCTTAATTAGCTTAATACAATGAGCGGTTCTATGATTTAGTCCCTTATTCCTGTCTTTCTGAGTCAGGGATTTTTATTTAACTTTGACAGCTCGCCCCTTGCAGTGACTGTTTTTTTGAGTGTTTAAAAAGCCCTTTTTAGGCACTGCATGTCATGGAATGTTCTGGTGTACTCTCTTGGTGGTTTTCAGCTTTGTTCTTCCCCCTCCCCCCTAGAAGTCTCTCCTGAAAATAGCATTTGTTTTGCATTTAGGCCAGTCATTCCAGCTGCAAATGCTGTTGGAGGCTGGGGAGCTGGTTCTCCCAGGCAGCAATCATGAGCTCATCTTGAATTGGAGCTGGCCTCAGGTGTTGATCTCATGCAGGGCTGTAACAAGGTAGCAGGCCCATGTCTCCGGGGAGAGGGGCAGAGAGTGTTCTGGAGAATAAGCAAGGGCATGTTTCTTCCTGGGAGAGCCAGGAGGGAACACACTGGCACCCACACTGGAGCTGCAGCTGGCGCCTGCTTGCTGTTTCCCCAGGCAGTCTCTGAGGACAACCTGCGGGCCTTCTGTCTGCAGCAGGAATGTGCGGGTTTGGCTAGAGCACACTGGAAAGAAAGTGTAACTGGGTGGTGAACGCTTGCTTGTTTTTATCTTCTGCCTGAAATTTGCTCATAGTTTCCATGTTAAGGAACACTCAATTCAAGGCTTTTATAGCTCAGCCTAACCTGGTTCAAGGTTTCATTCTGTGTTCATATTCAGATTCTCTCTCCCCCTCCTCTTCTCCTTCCATTTTTTCTCAAAGACAAGCTCCTCTCCCATTTCCCCCCACCCCTTGGAGACAGGGTCAGGCTCTCCTCAAACTTTCAAAGATCCTCAGAGCTGAACCCCAGGCTTTGATTCCAGACATGTGCCACCACACCCAGCCCAGCCATGTGACTCATTTTTTAAGGAAAGTCTAGGAAGGAGGTAAGCAACAGCTAAGCAGGTTTTGCTTACACTCTTGGCTAGAATGAGTGAAGAGCGTTAGGATTCGGTTTTTCTCATCATCCCCTGGGTTTCTGCCTTTTGACATTCTTTCTTGGGCTTTGCTGCAGAGCAGTCTGTCTTCTGTGGGTTTTGAGTAACCTTGCCCATGTACGTGGTAGAATAATACCTTGCTGTGCACAGCTGGCATGTAGGTCACCCAGATGTGGAACCATAAATGGTTGCTAGTACAAAGTAACTGTAAAGATGGAAGGGTATTTGCCACCCCCCCCCCCCCCCGGGGAGGCGGGGACGGGACTCTAGCTCTTTCTCATTCCTTGAACTCCAAGAACTCCAACTCGCAGAATGAAACAGCAGGTCTGGTGGAAATCCACACCTGGGTGTTAGGTATGTTTTAGGGATGATCACTAACCAAGTTAAAGAATTTAAAAATTCTAATTTATATCCACTGGCATTTACTCTGGTATATAGTCCTGTGGGTTTTGACATGTATAATCATGTATCTACCACCAGAATCCATGCAGAATAATTTCATCATGTTAAAACTTCCTCTTGCATTCCGTTTGAGTCAAACTCTTCTCCCACCCATGTCCCTGGCAACCTCAGTCCCATTATAGTTACATTGCTCTCTGTCTCTATTGTTAGGGTTTTTCCAGGATGTTCTGTAAATGGCTTCTTTCACTTGGCAAGATGCACCTGAGATTACTGTTTTGTGAATCTTTATTGCTGAGTAGTATTCTACTGTATGGATATACCACAGTTTGTTTATCCATTCACTAGTTGAATTGAGGTTGTTTCCAGTTATGGGTGATTATGGAAAAGCTGCCACAAATATCTATGTACAGTTTTTTTTTGTGTCAACATAAGCTTTTACGTTTGGTAAATACTTGGCATTATTTGGTCCAAATGTATGATTAGGTCTGGGCGTTGTGTCGCACGCCTTTTGTCCTGGCACTCAGGGAGGCAGAGGCAGGCGGATCTCTGTGATGTGACTTGTTCTACATAGTGAGTTCCAGACCAGCTGAGGCTACAGGGAGACCCTGTCTCAAAAAGACCGAAAAAAAAAAGTATGATTAGAAGTTTGAATGAAACTAAATTCGGCTCATTGTAACTCATAGAAGAAATCCAGCTGTCAGACCTTGACAGCCACTGGTAAGAGTTATTAGAAAAGAGAGTTGGGGAGCTCTGAAGATCCTGGAGGGAGGAGCATGAGAGTAGAACTCTCTTTACTGGGTGACATGCTTCATAACCCTGAACTAATCGGAATTAGCCAAAATGGAAACAAAGAGCTGCAAGTGGTAAAGTAGCCTTATTTCTTTGGGCTGTTATTTTTAATGTCTCAAGACACGTTTGGCAGTTTAATGTTTTACATTTGTTTTCAGGTTTCAGGTTCAGTTAAACACCACACAATAATAGGATTGGAATCTTGGGAAGTGATATCAAAGATCTTTGTTGAAATCTTGGTTGTCCAGCTTCTTCATTATAATTTGACTTATTGACCCAAAATCTTTATGGCACTCTACCCTATCAAGTCATTATTTAACTTTGATACCTTACCTTGTAAGGAAGTAACAAATATTTGGACTCCATCATAGCAGTGGAGTGGGGAGATTTGAAAGCAAGAGTTTGTTTTTTCTTTTCTCTTTTTGAGATTTATTTTTAATCGTGTGTGTATGTGTGTGTGTGTGTGTGTTGTGTGTCTGTCTGTCTGTCTGTGTGTGTGGGGGTTATGTGCACCTGAGTACATGTGCCCAAGAAGGCCAGAAGTGGGTGTTGGATCCCCTCAAGCTAGAGTTAAGGCAATTGTGAGCTGCTTGACATAGGTGCTGTGACTTGAACTTGGGTCCTCTACAAGAGTGCTCAGCAGCACTGGCTGTTAAACACTGAGCCATCTCTCCAGAGCCTGACTTTTTCGAGTCAGTCTCGTTCTGTAGCCCAGGCTGACTTGGAACCCATTATGTACCCAAGAGTAGTCTCTGTCCTCAGTGATCCCTCCTGCCTCAGCTTCCTTAGTGCCAGGCTTTTTTTTAAGGTTACAATTCTTTGAGTTCACTTGATGGGAGGGGATGTGATAGGGAGGCTAAGGATAAAACCACCTTCTGGGTCAGGAAGAATAGGCAGAGGCAATGGTGGTACAGAGGGAGCAGGGCCCAAGAAGGGTCAAGCCATGTTAGTGTGTGGCTTCTTTCAGTTGAGTACCAGATACTTCGTTGTTTCTTAAGCAGCAGGCATCATGCAGTGTCCTGGGAATCCCGAGGAAAGAGAAAACCAGAGTCTAGTGGGAAGCAGCTCACAGAACTATCATAGAATGGGAATGGCCATCTAACAGCAGTGTCACGGAGGAACCCTCAAGAGATGGCTTTGCAGCTGAACCTGGAGAGCCCATGAGTATGTGAGGCTGTCCAGAGCTCAGGAAGAGCATGTGAGTGATGGGGCAGCAATGGGAAGGTACAGAGAGAGCCTGGTAAGCAAAAGGGGTGTGGGAGCCGTGTTGGCGCCCATGAGGCGAGAAAACAGGCTGATGAGAGTCAGTACAGTTCTGGCGACTATGATCTTCCCTGTGTAGCTAGTATTGGCAGAAAGATTTAGCCTTCATCTCCAAAGTCCTTTGGGAATGCCCTGGAGGATGGAATGGAGGCTCTTCAGGCTGTAAGCAAGGAGGTCAATTGGAGACTGCTGCAGCAATTTAGGGGAGAAATCTAGGGCTTTGCATCTAAGGCTCAGCATATTGCTTGTGGGAATGACATGGCCGGTGGCTGAGCAGGGGGACAGGAGTATGCGGTGGTACCTGACTGTATGAGGGGAATGATAGAGCAAGAGGGCTGGAGGAGAACCCTGGAGGTGCCATCTAGGTTCCTTTGCAGCTGGTCCTTTCTGTTTTGAGATGACCATATCAGAAGGCAGAAAGAGAAAGAGTAGAGGTGGAAGACCTGGATCTGCTGAGTGCTGAGTTCAGGTTTGGGCACAGTTGCCTGTGAAGGGGCCTTTTAGTTCTTTTGGTCCAGCTAACTGGGCTAGAGGGCTACACTGGGCAGCTAGCAATATCACATTTCTCAACAGAGGATTCGTACCAAGACTACCAGTGGGTGCCCCAAATCTTGGATAGTATCACACCGTCTGTGTGCTATGTTTTTCCTACACATACACACCTGTGATAAAATTTAATTTATAAGTGAGGCACAGTAAGAAATTAACAATTTCTGGGGCTGGAGAGATGGCTCAGCGGTTAAGAACACTGACTGTTCTTGCAGAAAACCCGGGTTCAAATCCCAGCACCCACATGGCAGCTAACAACTGTCCATAACTCCAGTTCCAGGGGATCCGACAGTCTCTTCTGTCTTCTGCAGGCATTGCACGACACGGGTACACTTACCCACATGCAGGCAATACATGCATACACATAAAAATAAGTAAAATATTAAAAAAGAAATTAACAGTTTCTAATAACAAAACAGAACAGTTATAACGTTACACTGTAATGAATGTTAGTATGAATTGTTTACTTCTGGAATTTTCTATGGAGCTCCATAACTGCAACCTCAGAAAGTG